TTTCCCGATTGCTAAGCCTGCACCTGTGGAGAAAAGGGTTGATTGTTCTCGATAGGCAAGCGTCGAAACGAAGGACTGTTTTAAAGCAACTGTGGGAGGTTGACGAGAAAATCGCGGGTACTCGATAACTTCGAACCTTAACCTTTGACGTTCCGTCGTGTTCGGAGAAAATTCGAAAAGTATCGTCGAGCGTTCCAGTGCTTTCGGAAACGAACTGTTCGCGAATAATTCGCCTCCTCGGCGGGGTCACCCTCTTTTTCCGGAGAACGAGAGGAAATTCGACGGTACCCACTGATTAATTCGTTCGCGAGAAGAAGCCCGGTGCTATCCGTCTTTGTCAGGAGGAGCGACGAGGTCCCGGAGGAGCGGCAGGCAGAGAAAAATAGCCGGAAAGGGAAAAGAGCCGCGGAGCAAGGAGGCGGGAAGCAGCAAGAAAGGAACCGCTGCTTCGAGTCGCCGCTTAGGAAACGTTAGTTGAATCACTCGGCTGGTCGTTACACCGGAACAACGTCGGTCGGCGTGACAATAAAGAGACCGGTCGAACGTGCGCGATCGAGGGAACAACGCTAGGCTAGAGTAAAAAAGTCTAGCAGCGAGAGAAGAGAAAGCGAAGCGTGCCCTTAAGCAGTCAAAAATCCACGCGCCAGAAGTTCCGCTCGTGAAATTCGATCGCTCGATCGCTCTCTCCTTCGGAAATTAAAGCGTCGACTTCTAAAGAAAGTTACTGCCTTCGGAGGATAGAAAACTCCGTCATCGAAGCTCCGGCTTTTACGTCCAAGACCTTGTAAACTCTGCCCCAAGAACTCGGAACTCTGGTCGCGGAAGTTCAAAGCGTCAAGAACGAACTCGCATCGAGGGATCCTCGATCGACTCGACGAGAAACGCTTATTAACGACACACAGCCAACGGGGCGAGTTCCTCCCGTCGACGTTCCACGGGGATGCAAACGGATCTCGCACCCTTCCTGCCGAGCTAACGAAGAATCAGCTGGTGAACGATTAGAGTGATCGTGGCCTATGTTAAACTTGTCGCGACGAAGAAGCACACTCTCGAAAGAACCTGCGTGCCTTTGTATACCCTAGTTTTCGATCGCGTTCTCCACGAGACCACCGAGTAGAGGCTTTTGTCTGCCCGTAGTGCGCAATCTAAATCTCGTTAGGTCAACGTCGAGGCGTATCGAGCGAGAAAACAAGGTTTCCATCGGATTTCGCGACAAATCGAGTTTCATATAGTCGAAACCTTTGTTGGAATATTTCACGCGATAGGCTCCCAAGGTTTCGCTATGACTTGCCCCCTGTCTTCGAAAAGTACGCCACCTGTGGCCGTGCCCATAGAGACCCACCATTACACGCGAAATATTCATCTACCGGTGTTTAGACGAGTGACGGTAGTGAACACCGTCTCGGTCGTGTTTCTGCCTTCTCCCCTGAAGGTTGTACCAAAAATGTGAAGGAAAGGGAATTCGTGGATCCACTGAAGATTTTCTCGTACGAGAAACTACGTTTAATTTTCTTGGACCAAGTAAAAATATAATAAATTTCATCGTGCTCGAGAAATCGGCACGTCCACGTGACAGTTGCAAAATTATCAAATGGTAAATCATTCCGAGGTAAATCATTCTTTTCGAGTAGCCTGTCCTGGCTGAATGGAACAAAATTAGAATTTCTTTCACGGACGTCCACTTGTTTAACTTCTAGCGCTTGGAATTTTCACGGATTCGCGTTACCGAATTGGCCATTTCCGAGTTCCTCGAGTAGCTACGAAATTTCGTGCGATTAGGCTAGAACGATGAATTATCGACAAAAACGGGCAATCGATCGATTGTCAAGATATTTGCATCGAGTTGCATAACGTAGACTCGCGACACTGATGCAAGCCCTGATGGGTAAACAAGATTGTATAACATTGTAGATACGATCGTATAAAATTTCGAGGAACTTGTCCGAGATGATCTTCGCTAAGCTCATCGAAGCGCATAAAATTGCAACCGATATTCGCGGTTGCATCAACGGATGACATTGATTGGAAATTCGCTCGACACGATTGTATAACGTTGCGAGTAAATACTGCCAGGCCAAGTTTTCGAGAAAGTCGCTTGATCGCCACGATTACTGGCGCCATGGCGCCACCATTAATTCTCTGTTCCTTTCGTAAACGTTATTCCTGGATTCATAGACCCCCTGCGCCGCGATTTAATTACGAAAACTTAGGAAAATCGCGGAAGCGTTTAACTTCGACTAATTCGTACTTATTTACTTCGTTCGCGAGAAAATGCTTTCGGATTTTATACGAATCTCGCGCGTTAAGTATAATGTTAGTCACACGACGAGTCTAGCTCGCTTTCGCTGCGATTACGTATAAAAGAGCCACGAGGAGCTACACTGGTCGTTTAATGCAAAAGGTTAATAGCGAAAGACGTTAATGACGGCATGTGAAAGAAAGGCAAAGCAATAAATCGATGGCGAGGAGGTAAACGAAAGAGCAAACTTCTTTCTTTTTTTACTGTCAGACCTTCTTTTGTCCCTGGCTCCCTTCGTAACGCGATAGTCGGTCATCCAAGTTCGCGAGTCCTTCGACGTCGATTTCATCGCGTCACCGTTATGGATTACCCGCATGATTCTTTGTCGCGCCCATTAATCTTCGTAATTAAGCGGCCGTTTACATGCGACGAGGCAGTATCTCACGTGTAAATCGTTGTCACGAAGGTGAAAGTTATTAAAGCATTCTTGATAAAGGCGCTACCATGTTCGAAACAGTTTTCGAAATTAGGAGCACGAGATGAATCACACGATCGCCACTCGAAACGCGAGTCTATTACCTTCCGTGGCTCACGGCTCGCGATTCTGGCCTTTTCGTTCGATTGTTATTGAAAACGACGAAGGCTACTTATCCGCGCCGTTGGATCGCGTTGGCCGAGAAGAGGAACCGCGTGGAATTCTGGCCAGAGATTTCCTCTTTTTTCCTCGCTTTTCCTTCGGGCTTTGTCATCGCCTTGAAGGACGATGAGCTGGCAGTCCAGTGGAACGCCACATCCACGCTATTCCGATGTAATTCCAAAGTTGCTCGGTCGAACGACACTTGGCGAATTTGGAAAAGTTCCAAAGACACTCGATCAGGCGAAACGGAAAGGCTGTGGTGGACCAAATCGACGAATCTTTCTTCGCTAGCGAGAGACAACGAGGCTCTGTTCGGGTGAAAAAAAAATTCCGACGGAAAGTTCTCGAGCTTTTTGGCAGCGAATCGAGCGGATCGCGTGCTAAAAGTATCGCGGTGTTTATCCACGCTTCGACGTCCCCTTTTTCTTTTCCACGAGAACGTCTTCCGTTCGGGGACACCTTATCGCTGCTCGATCAATTGGCTAGGGCGATTCCTTGGTCACCTATTCGCCATTTAGACCCACCTATGCCTCTATTTATACGCTCGTATCTGGCTTATTCTACGCGCACCTCGGAAAGATACGTAGCCGATGGATCAGGTTGATGCTCCTTGTCCTCATCTCGAAATAACCGGACACGCCCCCGTTACGATGTTTTCGTCGAGCCCTCGCTCATTAAACCTCTAAATGAATCGCACCGATTCGTCACCTAGTACACCTCGCCACACTGCCCGCCCGGTGGAAAGTTAATAGTCCGCTTAATAACTACACCGAGAGTTAATAACTACGTCGTTGGAGCGATTCGCGCGACCCGATGCGTTCCATGATCCGAGCAAGTCAGTCAGCCGACCAATCAGCCCGCTCGGCAAAAGATAATCGTGATTTTCGTATCCGACGGAGTTTTAATTAATGGAGAAGAGATAATAAAGAGGGACTCGAGGGAAACTGTGGCTCGAGAAGGGCCGCGATTAAAATAGAAAACTGGGTCGACCCTGAAGCGCGATGAAAAGTTATCTCGCTGCGAATATCGAGCACGTATTCCCGTTATCTCTTACCGAACCCTATTTCCAATGAAACCAACCATTTTTTTCGCCCCTTTTAATTAGGAAATGCTCACACGTTGCCCGTCCGAGTTGCGTCCAAGTAGCTATATTTTTCCCCCTCTTTCCTCCGTATTCCAATGCGATGGGTTTTGCATACGAAGGACGAACGATCGTCGAGAAACGATTTTCAGGAAAAATTCGCCGCATCGAATTCTTTCGTATTTTCCACGTTACTCGGTAGCAGATAGTTATGCGAAAGTGAAAGAAAATGGAAGAAATTATTTTCAGATTCTCGAGATCGCGACGGGAAATGAATAGTCGTAGCGTTCGGGAGGTTGGTTGGGTGAATTTTTAGAGGAAACTAGCACCTAGCGCGCGGTTTACTCCTTTTTGAATTTATCCGACTCACAATGGCCGCGACTCCCGCATCGGAACCTGCTACGGCGATACAATGGGCAAGTAAATTTTCTTTCGACAATATAAAACAATAACTATTCTCCTGCGGTCTTTGTATCGTCCCATTACGGTTCATTGACAACGTTGCGTTGCTTCGGTGAATCGAGCAGTTTCATTTTCGATGGTCACGCGTTCTTTAAAAACCGCGGGTCGGCGACTTTACAGGTGTTTCCCTTTGTACATACACCCGTGAGGCATTCTTTACAGAAACTTCCTTCCGAGTGTTCCCTGCGAAGGCAGGAGATAGGTCGGATCGATGGTCAAGCTCCGATTACTCTAGTCGCGCGTCGCATGATGTTCGAATAGCGCCAAGCCGAGAACCCGCGTCATAGCAATCGATTGGAGAAGTGGTTTGAAATGAAAAACTAGGTCGTTCCAAATAAAGAACTAATTACTTTGCCCGGCTGGAATAAATAAATAATTAAGAACGGAAGAGAAATTCCACGTAACGAATGACACGGTCTGGAAGAGAAAATCTTGCGCGAGATAGAACAGCCTGGAGCTCGCGGGAGGATTTGGGGATGGAAGGACGCGAATGGCGGAGGATCCGTGGCAAAACGTGAGGGAATTCAGACTGCGCTCGAACGAAGCAACGACAATGATCTTGACCTCGTAATCAACGCGTCGTCGTAGACGGTGGTCGCCTCTGCGTTTCCGCGTGCGCACTCGAGAGTGCTGGTGCACGCGTGCACGCGTACACACGGTTACGCGGCTACATTGATAAACATGAAAGCAGCAGGTCGGTAACAATCGTCGCGAATCGCAGTTGCTACTCGGTCGCGCGAGCCGCTCGTTGCGACTCATCGAATTTTCCAAAGATTTCACTCGCTCCTCGTTCCCCCTTTCCCGAATAGCGTACTCGTGTACGCATACGCAAATCGGCACACCGATTTATACCCAGTTTTTATCCATGACGATCGTAGTTGACCGTTGACCAAGTATATTTCTTTTCCGTTTCGTTAAAAAGCGATGCGATTACGTAAATCGTGGATAACTTTTGCGAATAATCTGTCTTTCGTCGACTCGATATTTATAAACACACCTGCAGACTTGGAAACGTTTGGCCGAGTTGCTCGGTGCGAGCAGTTTCGTTTACGATTCGCGACAGAGTTTTTCGAAACTGCGTGCCGCAGACCTCGATTCGCTCGACGGGCAAGGTAGTCGCATGGAAAATGGTAAAATGCCGAGCGCGTGAGGCTCGTTAGCGCGCGAATAGCGAGCAGGGACTGCGCACAAAGGACGCCCGGTTACGCAATCGAATAGCGACATTGGTGACAATCATCGAATTACCCGGGAACCTCGATCGATCGTAGTTTCGCGCGATTCTCGCCAGAAGAGCCTCGTTGCGCGAATCCACCGCTAACTCGACGACAATCCAACGAATTCGACATCCGAAATTCGCGTCCATGTTGCGAAGAAGGAACGCCAGGTTGTCGAGATATCAGTCTAGCTTGTTTCGAATACTCCTCGATTTCGCGAGGTTCGGAGGAACGTCGTAATTCGTTGGAACGGTTATAGATTGGCGGTAAGCTTCCGCTAAACGATCTAGGCGTCGTGCTAATGTCGTGTTTACGCGGGACAAACAACGCGACGTAACTCTGTGGAAAAAGTGGAATTTACAGTGATTACGCAATAGCGTTGGACAATGGCCGTGGATAGAATGGAGAACTCGGGAGGAGGAGTGGTTATCGTCTCCAGTCCAACGGCGAATTTCGTGGCTCGATCGCGTGACAGCGGCTTAAGGCGCTAAAATAGAGCCTGTAGAGCATCAGTGTAGTCGACAAGTCGGTGCCAGAACGCGGCTACGCATTTAGTCTTTAACTGGAAGCATCCGCGCGCGGAACAGGCCTCGCGAGCGAGGGCCAGCGAAAACGCGAGTTATCCTCGATCGGGTGGCACCGCCCAACGCTTTCAGGGATCCTTTCGTCGAAACGAATCGATTCGTAACCGTGGAACGACGATGTGAAGCATCGCGATTCGGAGGATGCAACAAGTGAGTGGAGGCAGGGAGCAGTGGAGGAAAGGGGGCCGTGATGTTAGAAGTTACCATTCGCGAGTCGCACCGCTGATCCCTGCGTCACCTCTGACCCAGCCTCGTGTCACCGCTTCCACGTTCCCCGACTACGGAATGATGATCGTTTTCGAAACGAAAGGATACCCAATTCCGACGCGATCGTACAGAGCCAATGCGTCACGGTGAAAGTATTTTCTTCGTTCGATCCTCGTTCTCCCTACGTCGTCCGATCGGTTTGGTTGTATCGTCGACCTACGTACCGGAACCTCTAAGTCCCTTCACCGATTCTGTAAGCTTTCTTTTAAAGACACCGCGGGAAGAGTACGGCTAATCATTAAGCGACTTCCGGTTGCGTATTTTGCAGTTTGATGCGTCGGATAGGACCGACGGTGATCGAAAAGTGTTCGGAGAAAGCATTCGCGAGTAGTCGAGAATCCAGGCAGATCAAGGGGGAGAGAAGTCTTCGGAGTGGAATGGATGTGAAAAGAAAGGAACCTCAACCGAACAATCTCGAGGAAAATCAATTTCTCTGGATGATCTGTAAAGCCAGTATCCCTCGAATATTGGTCACGAGTTTGCTCGCTTTCGGTCGATACTGCGCAGATCATATGCCAAAGAAAATGACCCTGGGCTGCCTTCGAATCCTGGCCGCGCTGCTGGTAATCGTAATGCCTCGAACGCTCACTTACGTTCTGCTATATCCGATTTTCAGATTAGTGTTCGGCAACTTGTACCCGGCCTACGCTTCGTACAAGGCAGTGAGGACGAAGAACGTGAAAGAATACGTAAGTATCGAGTCCGATCCGTGTGACCGCTCGCTGAGAAAACGAGAGGTATTCTTGCTCGCCTTCCATTACCAGCGATTATGTTTGATCATCCTAATTAATGGGACTACACCGAGAGCGTGCCTTCAAGTACGAGCAAGTTCGAGCTAACTTGGTCGATATCGTTGTGGTCGAACACTGTTTTTACCAAGGCGTAAACTTTGCACCGCAAATGTTTGTCCACGGAGGAGGCTTTCTCGGGTTTCTTTGTTAAAAATCCACCATTTTTATCTCGGACGAACTTTGCTCTTGGACTAATCGCCTCGCGTTCCACGTTCGGGACGCGATGGCGTTCGTCGAACGATTTTCGATTAAATTCCAAGGTTAAACTCGCAACCCCTTCGAGCGCGCTATTCTCGCTATTTGCCTCAACCTCGAGGGATAATATTTACGTACGCGAGAACCGAGACGAAGTAAAAGTTCCTCCGAAATGATTATGCGTGGCTCAAGAATAGACCGAACGCTATTTCTGCGCAAAGAGAGGTCTATTCGCCAGCGGCTGTTTGCTCGTACGTAACACGTATACCTTGTCCTTTCGTTTTCAGGTGAAATGGATGATGTACTGGATCGTGTTCGCGCTGTTCACGTGCGCGGAAACCTTCACCGACGTCTTCTTTAGCTTTTGGTGAGCAACGCACATCGATCACGTGCGCCGGTTCTAACTTGGTCTCTTCGATAGCATAGCACCGGCGTGCGAGTGCGGAAAGGTCAAAGAAAAGAGAGGAGAGGTCGAACGCGATCCTTCCCTCTCCGTAACTCGTTAATCCGAAGAGTACTCGCGATGGAAACGAGCTGGAATAACGGTTGCACACGCGTTCTCCCGATAGGAAAGGGTGCACGGGGTTGGAGTCGCGCGAGTGTTTGGCTCGGGTAGGTCGGTCATGGCCCCGTTTTTGCCGGAAGCGAATAAAATTCGAGCGAACAGGGGCCAATAAACCGAGGTGAACCGCGTGGTCCGAAGCTCGCCACCGGGAATTCCGAAAGTCTAATTTCGGCCGAGATGGATATTGGCTTACATGCACTTCTGAGGATTCTACCGGCGTCTCGTCTTCCGTCTCTGTTTCTGGTCTTCCTCCCTGCTGTGCCAGATCTCTCCCTTCATACTCGGATTACAACCAAAAAGGAGAGCTCTCTCGTGTATTTCTGGCCAGGAATACCCTCGCACTTTCCTCTCCTTTCCTCTCTCCCTCTCCCTTTCCTTTTCATTCCTCTCCTATCGTCCACTATCCGTCTACACTTGGCTACTACCCTAAACCGACGCGATTTTTCCCCTTTTTCCCCCTCCCTATCTCGACCACGCGGCTTCGCGGTTCGCATCTGCGTCACGCGCCAGAGCAATTTCATCGTTGGCGTTTTTCATTCGCGCTAATAGGTCTTAGTCTACGAATCGTTATCGCCTCTATCCGTCCCTATCGTCGTTTCCTCCGCGTAACTCTCGTCTTTTGCTCTTTCTCCCATAGGTTTCCGTTTTACTACGAGATGAAGGCCATTCTCGTGATCTGGCTGTTAAGCCCAACCACCAAAGGTTCCAGCATTCTCTATCGACGATTCGTGCATCCCGCTTTGATTCGCCGCGAGTCCGAGATCGACGAAGCTCTGGAACGCGCGACAGAGCAGGGTTACAAGGCAATTTTGCACCTCGGTTCGAAGGGTGTGAATTACGCTACCACGGTTTTCATGCAAACCGCTATCAAGGTAAGTTCCAGTCTTCCGTTCCTCAACACGCGCTTGCAAATGACGCAACGATGATATCGATCGTCTCGTTCGCGGAAAAACTCTGCCAAAGTATGCGTAGAAATTGTTCGTGTGTCACGTACAATGTTATTCGTTGGTTCTTTTTTTCTCCCCACCCCCCTCTTTCTCTCTTTCTCTCTCACTCTCTCTCTCTCTCTCTCTCTCTCTCTCTCTCTCTCCCCCTCGTAACGAAACGATCGAGAGCCGATGACTTCGCTTAACGAATTAACCAGCTTTAGTAATCGCTTCGAGAAACTCGCTCCCAAACTAGCTAATCGTTGGCCATTTTTTCTTGATTTTATGTTTTCGTTGTCCTGCACGCCTATCCCGCACGCCGTTACCGCCTCTAATCAAAAACACGAACGTCGACCATCATCATCATCGATACTCATCGTCTAATCACTGCCAATCATCGTCGCCCCTTTAACAACCATCGACGCTTGTAAACAAAAAATAAACCAAAACAATGACCATGTTGTACGTGTACACGCGTGTCTCTTGTGTTCGACCTGTAACATCGCACATTCCACGACCCTCAAAAAAAATCGTGTATGTCATGTTTACCGAGAAAACCAAAAAATCCCTGAAAACACATCGGAACACGAAACGTCGGGTCAGCATTTGTTGAAGTCGCATCATGTCATTGGGACTGAGCTACCAGCCATCCAATCGGCCTCGGCGGTTTCTAGCTTGGTCAAGCCACCGACAACCTCGATGCTGACGATGGAAGAGACGACGGAGCAGGTAGACAGCGTAGCGAAACAGTGCCACTCGTATCCAAGCACTAGCTCCGAGGAATTGATGCCAGTCGAGTCGATACCTAGCTTGCACACCGACTGGAACACGGACGACGAGCTGGTGGAAATTAATCAGGTACGAGAGCAAGAAGAAGTCTTCAAGGTGCCATCGCCAAAGAAACCTCACAAGACACGGAAGAGCAGGAAAGAGCGATCGGGGAAGAATTGCAGGAGGCTGAGGTCACGGATTGACAAGTTCAGCGACGACGAGGTGGACCAACAGTACGCCGGATCCTCTTCGATGGAATACTGAGACACGACGACGTCCTGTAGGCTTTTTTGTCGGAAAGGAGTCCAAGTTACCGATTAGGTTTTAGCTAGCGTTACATTTATACCGTTTTCAACGAGAAGGGGTTAAGTCAAATTGCGTGTGTGTTTTTTTCTTTTTCTTTTTCTTTTTTCTCTTTTATTTTCCCTTTCGTTTTTTCTTTTATTTTATATATTCCTCATTTTGTATAATCGAATCGAGCCTAAGAGAATTATTGACTTTGTTAACGCGTAACTGATTATGAAGCGACACGAGAGACGCGACTGAAGAGGGCTTTAATCGCGTGAATCCTTTACGTTTTAATCGCGTGAAATTGTTTGTAATATCCGATAGATGCGTTATAGTAGAAACACGATCGAGTTTTTTTTTTCTTTTCTCTCGATGTACGTCAAGTTTGGAGCACAACGTAACCTCTACCGCGTGGTGGTTAATTAGCGTTTAAACGAATACTGTGAAACTATTACTGTGTGTCTTTCCGAAATGTCTGCGATTTGTACCGTTTGTTATACCGATTAAGATTAAGAGTGATCTTTCGCGGGACTAGCCGCGATACGTGATAATTTTTAATATGTAGAGGGAATTGATGCCTTTCAGCAGAATTCTGAAATACTTCGTAAGAGAGTCTATGACAATCCGATAAATTTTCATCTGTTGTTGCAAATTGATACGCTATATTTAAGCAATAAATACGTCAAACAAACACGTTGAATCCTTTTTCACGAATAATGCCATCGAATAATGAGGTATCGATTGAATATATACTTGATACTTTGCTTCCACGAGGTACGATACGTATCGTCAAAAAGACAGAGCTTAAGACTGTGTGTGCCGAGATAATAGGAAGAACGACTTGGACGAGTAAATGCTGATTATTCTGCATACGCGATTTACGCGACTACCTATTATCTCGATCGCGTGTATCGCTTGCGAGGTAATCGATACCGCATTTTTTGCTCGCGCACGATCATCGTCAAACATCGAATAGTACTTAAGGAGCCATCTATCGCATTGCGTGCTGTTCCTTGTTGTAGTTTTCCTAGTTGTAGTCGTTGTTAAACATTGTATGTCGCATCGATGTAAGTAGTGGACTACGATCGAGAAGCTCGTTACATGCGTATCAATTGAACGGCTATTAGGAATGCTAGATAACGTAAGAGAGTCATAGTAGCGTGAAAAGGTTTGTCATCGAAACGCTTAGAAAGTAAGACTTTTATACTCGAATCCAAAGATTTTACGCAACGATATCATGGTATGTCTCATCTCGTTTTTTTTTTTTATTTTCGTTTTTTTCCGAATAAATGAATTCTACCGACAAGGGCGTACTGTTGTCCCTCTCTTGCTCCGTTTTGTCTTTCGTCTAAAGGCGCGCGCGCGCGCGTGAGCGCGTATTCCGCGATCATCCGCGTCGATCGATTCCTCTCGTTCGTACTGAGCAAATCCCGTCTAACGAGTTGGTCCAGTTAATCAAGAGAACCCGGTTCTATCGCTGGACACGCGGAACGCTAGCCGTTAACTCGTGCCAGAATGCAAGTCGGAAAGAAACGCAGCCGGATAGGCGAGAGACCGCAACGCGCTCGCGTTGCTGAACCCGGCCTAGATCGATCGCTAAACACGCACGACAGATCGAACACACGCTCCGGTGACGGCAGATAACACATTAACACCTTTTTCCGGGTTGGTAAGAATTTATTTTTTTTTTCTCCTCCTCTTTCTGTATTTCGTTTCTCAACGTTCTAATTTTTCTTTCTCTTCTTCTTCTCAACTTTTTTTTCTTTTCTTTTTTTTTTTTTTCTTCTTTTTCCGTTTTGCCCGATCGACGGGTTTGATTTCTCCGCACTGAGCCTTAACAAACGACGCGATACGGAATCGTAAATTGTCCCGCAGGCTGAGAAAAACGGAAAATTGGTTTTTCAGGGCGGCGGTGGTCTGGTACAGCATTTAAAGAAGAGTTACAGCCTGAGCGACCTGACCGGCGAGAAACAGGACGAGAATAGAAACACGCCACACATGCACGACGAGACGGACATGGAAGGTTGTTGGCCGATTATAGCCCCCCTTAATTTCTGCAAACTCCCCCGCGTGTATAACCATAATGCCTTTGCTTTCGTCTAATCGCATATAGATTCGATCCTAGGCATATAACTTCTCGGGGATTAGGATTTACTTTGATGGAAATTTTGCTACGGTTTATAGTGGAACCTCGTCGAAGAGAACACGTTGGGAGAAGAGGGTACAGTCCTCGTCGAACGCAATCGGGCAACACTCGGGTAGAGATGTATTTCTCTGAAGTGGACGTGGATGTTAGACAGTCAAGGTCTAGGGAGCCAACGACTAGCTTAACGTACGTATATTCCCGTCGACGAATAATCGTTTTAGAATATCAGTAGTCGCGGTGTCGAGGTGTTATGCCAAGTATGCTTTGTTCGTCGTAGTAATGTAAGGTCTTCGGACGACATATCTAGCGGATACAGCAGTGGGGAAGCGCTACAATCCAGCCGTGCATCTCAAGGCGATTCGTTAGTTCGAACATCGAGCGTCGGTGCAAGAACACGCGCAAAACCTCGCTCCACCATGAAGAAGACCCCAGAGGTACTAAATTCAACCGCTCGAATCCGTATAAGAACGTAAATCAAGGTTTAATTCCGCGCACTCCAGCCCCAATTTCGTTCTACCGCGAAAACTTTGTCCAACTATCTCCAACCACGCTGACAAACACTTGCTAAAGCAAAGTGTCGCGAAACGAAAGCGAAATTGACCGATTGCGTCGAAATTGATCCTTGATTAATCGAGAAATCCGTTCTCTCGATCATTTCACCGATGTTTATTATTTCATTCTCTGCTGATCTTATAATATATCGATTTTTATGATATTTGAAGGACTCGGGAGAGGATTCCGACAGCATCGATCCTCCTTCTTCCAAAAACATCTCATTTCCGACACCTCTAAATCTCGTGACTCCCGAACAAGCACTCGAGATCTTGCTTCTGCTCTCGCAAAACAGTAATGTTGCTGATTATATTAAATTCGATCGTGGCTCCTTTGTCGCAGGTAATGATTCACTTAAAAATACCAGTCAATCAGGCCCGGATCTAGAGGAAACAAAGCCAGGAGGAACAGTGGATAATTCGTCAGACTCGGTACTAGCCGCGAAGGTGCATATCGTTCAAAGCATAGAGGCGGAAGCTGGCCCTGAACGTTCATTAACGGTAGGAAAAGCAAATAATGACGCGGAGACCGGTAACGCGAATAAAGACGCGCAATTGCTGCGAGCTGAAACGCAGAAAGAAAGAACGGAAGACACGAGTGCGAAAAATATCGCACCCACGGAAACTTTTGCGAACGACGAATCTACGTCGGAGAAATCTATCGGTGGATCGACTCGTACGATAACGGATGATCTCTGTCAGAACAAATTCGACGAGCTTAAGCAACTCTTGAGCGACGCTCACAAAGCGGTCAACAACATCGTTTATTCGCAGGAAAAATGGAGGCACAGCGACGCGTGTATCATGGAGACGTTGTCGCAAAAGGATTTACAGCGAAGTACGAGTATCCAGGAAACTAAGGAAAGTGGAAATGGCGAAAAAGACAGAGGTGTCTCCGAGGACGCGAAGATCTTTGCAGAAGTGAGCAAGGAAACGAAAGTTGAGGTATCTGACACGGTAAACACGGCCGGGGAGTCCGAAAGTGGCATGTCCTTGGACGTTTGGACAACTCCAAACCTGTCACGAAGTAATTCCGACAGTCTTGGTCGAGCTGGCAAGTACAACAAGAAGCCGGCGCCGAAAGTGCCACTCGCGAACAGCGAAGAGGACTTGAACGAGACTGATGCTCAGAGCGCGTTGAAAGCCACTTTGATAATTAAAACAGGAACCTTAAAGACCTTCTCGAATACCGACACTACCAAAGATGTGTTTATCGCTCATGCTACGGATGTCAAGTCGAAGGGGAAAAAGTCGAGGAGACAGCGAACCAAGGAAGGTTTCTCGAAGCTGTTGACAATTCCGAAAAATATATTTCATAACGCATTTTACAAAGAGAACAAAGGCTCGACGAAGGCGGATGATTCGTCTCCGGATATCAGCGCACCTGAGACCAGGTCGAACAGCATCGAACCACAGGAAACGATCATCGAACTCGCGCCAAAGTTGTCGTGCTCCAGTCAAGAAATAAATGCCCAGAACGACGAGAGAAATGAAAATGACAGTTCGAATAGTTCTGGCAGTTACGTGCTCGCTCTAAACGACGAGAAGGAGACCGGGAACGATATGGAGAAAATCGAAACGGAGAAAAATATGGAAACGAATAATAAGGATGGAAAAGTCGCGACAACGAGTCTGGAATCGCAGATAAGAGAAATGTCGCAGTCACCGAAAATTGGCAAAAGATTGGAATCAGACATTTTTTAAAAGCTTTCACTCGAGAATACGCGCACAAGCTGCAACAGTTACACGGGTCTTTTTGACTGGTTTTCGTTGATAAATTAAATATGCCTGTTACCACCAATCCCTCCTCATCCTCTTCGTCCACTAGATACTTTGTCGTACTGGAAGTGTGGAAAGAAGAAACGGATTAATTCGACCATTCTTATCGTATGGAAATGGTTTCTAGAGTGTTTTGTGATAATTCGTTAGACCACTAATCGCTTAGCGAGTGTTACTTCTTACTACGCTGCTAAACGTGCATGTTACTCGGTGATTAACACGGTTATAGCAATATCGCTGAACGAGTTATTAATTTTCCTTTGCTTCGAAAACGAAGCGTAACGTTAGAGAAATTTCTTTACGTATCTCTCTACGAATTGGAACAGTCCTGAGTGGTCGAAAGGAAAGAATTCTTCTGTTGAAAGATAAGAATTCTGATACCTCGTCGAAAGATGTTCCACGCTGATTTCCTTCCCCCCTGTCGTAACATTGTTTTCCCCTCCCGTCAGTGTGGTGTGTAAATTACATATTACGAATCGAACCCTGCCAAAGTTGTAACTATATAACATAAAAATCGAAATAACGAAACGTCGAGCTAATTTTACTTTTAAGAACTCAGCGTTACGCTGTGCTTTTTATCCCGACGCGTAACTTCCATGACAACTGATTCGTTTGTATCTTTTCAGATATCAAGCTTCGCTACCCTCCCCCGCAGCAAGAAGACAAGTAAGAAAAAGGTGGCATGAAATTTAGAGACTGCTGATCGTATAAAAGAATAAGACCAAGCGTTATCTTTCGAATGCAATTTATTTGAATGTCAATGCGCATGCACGTCAATGTGCAGCGATAAACGATCAGCAGCGGTACATCTGAATCAACTGAACACACCGAGATGCATAATGCATTGCGACATTGTGCCCTAGCACTAGCGTTACTCGAATCGTTTGTACATACTTTCTTCATAATTTCAATTTCAGTTTCGCAAACGAGATTTTCATCGATTATATTCCAGCGTCTAGTTAAGTAGATATAGCAAAACATACTCGATCGATCAGTTTCCATTAATAAGGCAACAGATAGGTAAAAGAAAAATCAATCGATCACGACGGACCTGTAACACCGTTGCTCACGGTCATCCAAAAGATTCTTAGGTCTCGTGTTATGCTTTTTATTGCGTATCCCGATACTCGTGCGTAATGTCGTTTGTATATGAACAATACGGTTCAATCGAGTTTTATATATATATGTTTAACTATTACGAGGGAAAACTTGCGGTGCTTGTCGCACACGATTATTGTTGCTTACGATCAAGCTTAGATTTTACTGACAGAGACACGCGATGTATGACGATACGCTGATATACGAAATCGCATGGAATCCCGTTTCTAAGCTTTTCTAAAACTCTATAGTTCTGACGTTTCGTAAAACGATTCGATCGTTGTAAAAAGAGTGGAACATGCCGAGGAACACGCGAAATTAAGCGTGGACAATTGTACTTACGAGAAGGGGATGAATTCCGTGGAATCTAGTCAACAAATAAAACATACTCAGGCAACTCTCGAATAGTGCCACTTAACTTTCTATAATTCGTCTATATAATTGTAGTTAGCAATGATACGGAAGCGTGATTAATCGATAAATGACTGTATGAAACGGGTCATCGCACTTTTTCACAGAAATTAGGGAACTCGAAGTGCTGCATATAGCTGAAACGAAGCCATAGATAATTTATAAGAGCCCGTTAACGACCAGAGACGTATCTATAATTCTGGAACACTGCTGAGGTTCGACATGGTAGCTGATCGCTTTTCTGTATTTTTATTCCAGCAGTTCCCAATTGAAACGACACGAAAGTCGAAAAAGACGCGCAACAATCTCGTTAACTTGTACTTGCCCTATGTTTCAGTTCTCTTACGAGTGAGAAAAGGAAGAACATAGAATTAAATCGTGCCACGAGTTTCTTGTCCCCTATGAGATGTATATTTTTCATATTTTGAGAAATAATTTTTGTTTCAACACGAGACAAAGCGTAATTCGCTTGTCGCACGATGCAATTGATGCTCTGACAATTTATTTTACTTGGACCACTCGTTCTCTGATGAAAGGGGTGTACGCGGAACCTTGCATGAGAGAGGTGCATGTTAGTTTCTGTTTGCGAATTTACAATGAAACCTTGTTAACTCTTGTTCTAAAATCTCATCTGTTCATGGCTTAATTTGCGCGCACGGTATACCGAGCAGGAAATTTACGCACAAATGCTGTAACTATTTCATAGATTATCGTAACTAATAATTACTAACGTTATCGAATTCGTGCATATAGTTTATTATGCTACGCTCTACTGATTACTGTAAACGCTGAAAAAACATTACGTCGAAGAATGCCACTCTCTAGAAAGAGGTAATATTGCCGATCAGTTAAGAATTTGTTGTACAATTGTTGATTTTGCCATACACGTTCTTTACTATGGGAGTATCACGTGTCATCGGAAGAAAATGCAGCTAATGGGACGAACGTCTGTTACAAAACTCAAGGGCGTACCGTAGAAATTATAGAAGTAATTAGAAATAAATGGAGCTTTGGCTTGAAAATCTGAAACTGTTCGTAAATGTTTCCTACTGCGTTGATATTTGCATTCGCTGCATTTTATAAAATAATCCCGTAAAATTGAAAGCTCCTCGGGAGAAGCTAATCGATTGCAACTTACGCGTGCCGTTAATCCTTAGCCATCTCGATATTTTGCTGCGACTGTACGTGGTGCGAGAGTAGAAAAGAGCATGCTCAATCTTAAAAGATCCTTGCCCGTACTCGATGGGAGAAAACTCCCAAACAGTTACAGTATATCTCGATATCGTTCGAGCTTTGTTCTTTATAATCGATGAGTCCTTTCGGTGCATCGACTGTTCACCGCAAAAATGTATGGTGCTGCGAACTTTTTCATTTCTTTTGTAATTATGTGTCTTGGCAGCGTAATGGAAATGCGTTTTAAATATTAAAAAAAAGACATCGGAAACGTTATGAAGGATGTGGATAGATTGGTTAACAGTATTTTGGTTTAAATATGTCTGTAGTCAATAAAGTGAGATTAAAGCATTATATGTCAATTTGTTTACAATTGTTTTAAGTATTAGAAAATGTAAGTATTCAACGTTATGTAATGTTAAACAAAATATTTTGGTCATTACAAGTTTCCTATCTACATGCAATTTTAAATAAATTAAGGTACTTACATTTTTGTCAACTCGCAAGTACTTGAATCCACCAAGCCTTTTATTCTCGTATGTACCATCGTTTCCTAAACTGTTCACTGTTTCGATTGTTTTACTACTCGTTTATATTGTTCAGACTTGAAATATAATTACACGCTAAGTCACGTTTATATATCATACGTCTTTCAACATGTTCACAAAATTAAAATAAAGATGAGATAAACTTGTATATATTCGCAATTCAAATTAATGTCCCACACAAACTGCAGAAGATTTCTTTATCTACCGAGCGTTCAAATTATGGGCACAGTCATAGACGCAGCAAAACGTAGAAATGTATTGAATGACGTTTTTGTATAGAGGACACTATATAGAGTCTCGTATTTTTAGGTCGATAGTCAGTCAGAGTCAAGCTGTGATAGTCTGTATAACGTTAAGTCTATTCTTTACATCTGTTCTATCTATATTTTATAAGTTCACACTAAAATTTAATTTTAGTACCAATCGGTATGAACATCGGTATTTTTTTATTAAATATATCGATAATGTTGAACATAACATCGAACTGATAACAGGATCCTAGCAAATAGCTCGCAAAGTTGAGACGTAGAACGAAAACACATATTGCGTCATATATGTCATGTATTGCGTCATACATATTTCGTATTGCGTCTGTGCTAAAACTCAAATTTTAATATAAATATTGCGAATTAAATCTATTATACACATCGTCTATGCTTAAATACACTTTTTCTTATTTGATAATATAAATTTCTAATTTCATTGTAATATTGTAATTTATTTTTATAAATCAATCTTGCGAGTCAATAAATAATTATACGTATATATGTATAGTGTACATAATTCTAATATATCTATTGTAATATAGTTTTTAAAATCATACTTCAACCATAATCGTTTTATATTGTACAATCAATATGGCGACTTCCACAAAATAGTAAATATAAGTGATAGATTTTGTTAAATTTCGTAATAAACTTTATTGAAAAGTGCAGTTGTTTTATTACTTTTATTTTTATACCCATTGTTACACGATAATGGTAGATGAAATTTACATTGCATAAAGTGAAATTCCGATTATCTCTGTACGTTTCTTCTAAATTCATATATTTGTTGTTGAATCTGTACACCCGCATTGCTAAATTATAAGTTTTAATTCGTATCACTAATAAAATTCTGAAATAAGAAGTTATATTTGTTGATATAATAATTTATAATACTTATTACGTGTGTTATGTATTTGTTTATTAATCTTTTAAAAATGTTTCCAAGTTTATTTCATAATTTTCACAGTGTAATGCTTATATATTTCTTATCATTTATTATAATTTTCGTAATTATATTTAAACTATAATAGAATTTAATGTAATTTTACAAATGTATATTCGTAGAAAATACAAACATATTTTATTGAATTTAAAATCTTTATTTTTATAGTTTTTCGTTATATCGTAGGATAAATTGGATATTGGATATTCGATACACATACCGGATATATGATATCGTTTTTTTCAGATACTAATAAGATGTGTAAATAATTCACATGTAATTTTTGAAATCGAGGTCGTGATATTTTTTGAAAATGCTGCGTCAACGGGCATTGTCAAGGGATAGAGTACTTTTTCGAGTATTAAAGAATAAAAGTCCAGTCGCGAGCAGTATATGTGAAAAACTGGTATCTATTAATACATAAAAAATACGCATTTTACTGATAGTATATACTAATATCACATTCTAATTCATAAGTTTACATACATAACAGTTAATTTCTATGATAATCTTTGTATCAAATTTTTTAATTGCAAAATTTGTTTTAATGTTTCTGTCATACTATTGTTGCTTATAATAAATTGTTATTTTAGAATCACAATGTGAAGAACATTGTTTTGTTATCAGAGGATGAACTTTGTGAACTATGGCAACATATGAAAACTATATTAATAGAAGCAAAAAAGTTATATACACAGAGATTAAGTAATAAAAGCAAATATGTAAAAGTATGATCACTTACTTAAATGTTTCTATGATTCTTACTAATTTTTTACTTTTTTCTTTCTGTTTTTTTTTTTTTTTTTGCTGTTAGTATAATGTATCAATGTCACAATTTCAGGAATTCAATCTTATGGTTAAGTTAATACGTACAATAACTACAATGGCCCTTGAAACAATTGTACAACGAATATTTATACCTAATATTCTGTTAGAAAACATAATGTTACTACACTCTGTAATATTACCCAATATAAAGGATGAACAGGTTGGTATATAATTATCTTATAATTATCCTGTTTTATCAAAGTTAATATCTAAGTTCTTTGATTTTAAATAAAAAACTTTCTAAGGCTAAAAATGAAATATCATATTTGCTGGAAAACTGGTGGTCATTAGATATGACATGGAAAGAGAAAGTGATAATAAATTCATTAAAGTACCTCATCCAGAATTCTAAATTTTCATTGGTAATTATATATTGGATAAATAGATATATCTAAGCAATGTTGTTTTGTTATTGATTCATTGCTTGTAATTGCAGCAACATGTAAAACGTTTATATGAGATAAGATCTACTATCACATTGCTAAAATATACAGAAGATGTACAAGACTTACTTAAACTTGTTCGAGAAAAATTAGTGATGTCACTTGAAGAAGGTCGTATGTTGATACTATATTTGTTTACTCTTGGAGAGCAATATATATTGGTATAAGCTTTAATTGTATACTGAAGTATCAGTTATTTTATCACACTTTATATTTGCATAATGGCTATTTCAGGGAATTCATAATAATGTAAGAGTAGTATTACAAAGTATTGGACATAACTGTATTGCTGCATATGCAGATTTATATGTATCAGCATGGTTAAATGCAACTGAAAAATTAAAAAAATTTATTACTGAAAATTGTGTAAACAATGTTATCTATCATTGTTTTCGAGCATATAGAGATTCTACAGGAAGAGGAAAACTTGGTAAAAATCTACTTTCATTTCTGACTGCTATACATGATAGTAAACATCAAGCAGCAAAATTAATGATTCATAATCAATGTAAACCTTTGCTTTGGAAACATTTAAAGGTATTACTGAAAACAAATATACATGTATACATAGTTTTCCATTACAGCATTAATTAAAATTTTGTTTATAGGCACCTGGTTCTCTCATCAGATGTAATGCTGTAGAGATTCTTTTTGTAACAAGTTCGGTGCAATATACATGTGCTACAAGAGACAGAAATAAGATTTACCTTCAAAAGTTTTATAAGACAATAACTGATCTTTTGAATGATTCAGATTTTGAAGTTTGTAATGTCACTATACATGTAAGCTAATTTATCTGTTTTTTTTTACCTTAATTTCTTGTTTTATTACATTGAACTACATTTATGACATTATTTATAGTTATGATTCAATAATGACAGATTATATCTTTTTCTGTGATTTATCATTATTAGATACAAATTCTGTATAATGTTTCAGTATTTTATAATTAATGTGTTATAGTAATGAATAGCTAACCCTCTACTAATCTTCAGGGTCTATTTAAAATGTTAGAAAAATATTGGAATTGTATTCCAAATAATATTATCCGAGACTGGTTAAACATTTTATTGCATCACACAAAAAATGCCAATAATTCCAAAATAAGAGCAAACATTTTTATTGGTTTAAAAAGGATATGGGTTAAAGAACGATCTCATAGAATACTTAAGGATTTCCTACCAAATTTTGCAAATAGTATTTATGATAATGATAAAACCGTATTGGAGGCATTAATTAAACTGCTTTGGCATGCGCAAAATCAACTTGGAATACCGTTTTGGGATATAGTACCCTTGACATATGTTCTTGATCGTTTGGAGGTAAGCACGATACTAAATAATATTTAGTTATTTGAAAAGTAATACTAAATTTAACATTTTCATTATTTTTAGACTACGCAAGATACATTTTTGTTACAAGAATTGGTAAAACTTATTTGGCTACGGGTATCGTCAAACGGTACGCATTACGATAAAATAAAAGATGAATTAGCGTATATAGGAACAAGTAATATAAATGCTATTAGAAGATTTTGTTACCATTCTAAACCTGTTATAAACTGGAATACATCTATAAAACTAATTGAAACTTTCCTATCAATGATAAAAGAAGAAATGGAGTGCTTACCTGTAGTGAAAACATTGAATAAAAATCGTAATAAAAAAGCTAAATTTAGCAAAGAGGAAAACAGATATGAAAATGGTAATAATATATAATTATCTGAATTAGATTTAAACATTCATAACTGTGTTTTTCTTGTCAGATTCTTTGAACAGTTGGAATGAAGACTTTGATAGTTATAGAGATGTGCATACATATATTGATATTATTGCTATGTTGTTAGTATCAAATATTAAAAGTATGGAAGAAGAAAAATTTTATACAGAAGAAATGAATATTTTACAAGTCATTGCGCATACGATACCCGAATTTTTGAAATATTTTAGGGTAAGTGATTATAATTTTATTCCTACTACACAAAGTTCATTATTATATACTAGCCTCTTCTTTTTTCGTTTTTAGGAAACGTCAATAAATGAATCAGTAATATTTTTATTTTCTTTAATACCTCCAAAATATTTTCTCAATAAAATTGAAGTTATTGAAATGTTAATACAACAATTATGTGATCCCGATATCTCTGATGATACCCTTCTTACAATTATTTATGTTCTTATGAAATGGAATAAAGGAGATACAATTTTATATGCGTTAACAAACCTTTTTACAGAATCTTTCAATATAAATGCAAGAAGTAATCAGGTAAATGTCTTGTGTATAAATATAAAATATAATAATATATAATAAAACAATGAAGTACAATAATACTAAATATTCGTTTCAGAATACCACTAATATTACAGATATCTTTCAAATCAATGAAAAGGGATTAGAATTAAGTTTGCGAATTCTAAAACATTTATTGCATATTGAATATCAGTCAGTTTTAATGAATAAATATCATAAAGATATGCTTAAATTTTGGAAAAACTTACATAAATTTAGAAATTTTATAGAAGAAGGATTAAACAATGAGTGCAATATAGGTTGTCTGTCCAAAGATATAACTGTACAAATTTTTAAAGAATATATATCAATGATTGTAATATTACATAAGAAAGATATATTCGATGCATCAGAACATTTGTCAGAGGTTTTATTGTGGGTTAGAAGGTATGAGACTTATTTTATATTTCTATTAGTTCTCTTGTAATATTGCTCTATCATTCTTTGATGTTCTTTCTAATATAGGGCAATAGTACCGCACATATCACACGTAGATGTGAATATTATAGAAAACCATCAAATTTGTATAAGTATAATAAAAAGTACTTTCGATATGTCAGAATGGTTACTAAAGGAGTACAACAGTACTCCAAAATTGTGTTGTGATATTGTACTTTTATATTGTAGTTGTTTATCTCTAGCAATTGGTATAGTTTTTTGTAGCAGTGCATTTGATACAATAATGACATTATTAGATTTTAGTAAAATGGCTTATGAAAAACGTGAACCAAATTTGTTAAATATAGTTGTACCAAATTTTGTATGTGTTACAATGGTTACTTTAACCAGGTATGACAAAGATACGTTGCTTAAATATACAAATGTAAGTATTCAATGAATTATTTAAAAAATGATATGTGATGAACACTTTTTTCATCGAGAAAATTATTAATTGCAGAACTTAAAAATCATACATGAATTAACAGAAAAATATTTCCTCGTTATTAAAGATACTTTTAAGAATGAAAATTTATATCTTTCATATATAACTATTATGTTTAATACTGCAATCAGTAGTATAAGTACAGAAGTAACACGTATTCTACAGTGCTCGTGCATAACAGAGGAAAACATTTCACTCATACAGTTTCCTTATTTAGCAAAGAAGATATTAAAAATTATTTTAAAGTCAAAAAAAAAATACCAAAAACTAAGCATACAAGTATTAACAGAGACAATAACAAGTTACACCAAAGTAAGTATATTTATACTGTTTAAAGTCTATTACTCTCTAAACTAATTTTTTTTATAAAATATATTTCAGATTGACATGCTTTCTGCTTTAATAGTAATATACACAGTGCTTAAATCAACTGATAAAACAATTGTTAACAGACTTAAGAACATAACATTAGCATCCAAAGCACATTACCAAAAGCAATGTTGTGATACTCCTTCTGACAGGTATTATTAATTTCTGAATCTAGAAGCAACAATATGATGATTATAATCGCAATTATATGACCAAATCTTTTATCCTTTTAGATCTATAAATGATGCAATGAATACAGTTATAGATGCAATACTGAAGCAATAATACAATTGCTAAAAGCTGAACATGTTTGAATAGATAGAATATACTATTTATTTGACACGCGTAACGTTTCATTATACAGTTAAGCATCGAAATATTTCTTATCAGTTTATCTTTTTGTGTAAAAAATATAAAGTTATATATTTTTATATAACACGAAAAAATATTTTTCTACGAGAAACAAAGTACAAAACTTATAGAGTTATTATCCACGAATTAGGATACTGTATGCAACTAATAAAATAAAAAAGATATATGACTTTTAAGGCTATGTAAATATATATATATATATATAT